TCGAAGATATCATCACGAAATGAACAAATCTGAGAAAGGTCTACATGTAGTATCTAAATATGTAATATCAAAGCAATTGAACTATTGGTTTTTAACAAGAAGTCGAAAATATCACTTTTTACCAAAAATTACAAAAATATTCACCAAAATTAGAGAATTGAAAATATCATCACGAAATGAACAAATCTGAGAGAGGTCCACATGTAGTACCTATATATGTAATATCAAAGCAATTGCACTTGCATTTTTTAACAAGAAGTCGAAAATATCACTTTTTACCAAAAATGACAAAAATATTCACCAAAATTAGAGAATTGAAGATATCAACATGAAATGAACAAACCTAAGAGAGGTCTACCCAAGGTACATATACACCAAGTATCAAAGCATTCAGGCTTGTAGTTTTCAAGAAGAAGTCGAAAAAGTAAAACATTGACACGGACGACGACGGACAATCACTCAAATGACATATGATAAGCTCCGCTCGACAAAGTCGACAGCGGAGCAAATAAAGAAGAGATACATATCTCATATATTTTATATCATTTAAATTCATTGTGTTTTATGTGTGCATCAAGTCAAATAAAGTTTGAAATAGAACAGGAAAGAAATGGAAATACTTATAGCCAGTCAGTGAATATATTGTTTATCCGTGGAGGTAACTGGTTCATCATTATTTTGTGTACAAGTACAGTCAGTTTTAGTGCCAATGATACTGTCAGTTCATACGAGGGGGGGTTGTTAAATTTGTAAAATCTGCAAGATTGCGGGTTAATAAATCAACAATGACATTTTTTTTCTACAACGGCATTTCAAAACTAAAGTCAGCAATTTTTCATTCATCTATCTATTATTTGTGTAATGCTACGATCACTATAACATTGTCAGCTGACGGCATTGCGTTGAACGGGTATTCACTGCTGCTGTTGCGATCATTGGTCCCTGACTTTTTTGTTTAAAAATACACAAACTTAGAATGTTTGCTTAATTAAAACCATTCATTGATGATTAACTTAGAAATTACATCAAAATCGCCAACGAAATGTTGTTTTTAAATATCGCGGAAAATTATGCACTCTGCGCCGCCATCTTTGTTACCTCAATCAAAATCTCCGTTGTAACCCAGCATGCATCGATTGTGACGTCACTACATGCGTTACGTCGCCTTAGGGTGAGGTATTTCTAGAGGTCAGGGTTCGTTTTTTTCTCGTCCGTCTCATCTGCAGTTGAATAATTTTTAGTCCCATTTATTTGCAGTTTTCTTTCCAATGCGACTTAATTTCACTTGTTTTTTTAATTCTTGGTAATTAGTGTCACTGGCGATGAAGTAGTAAAAACGCAATTAACCGCAGTGCAGCAACTCGGGATAGACCATCCCGATGCAATGGGCAAATTATTACTACTCCCGTATTTTGGGTTTGCCAGCTCCGCACCCTTGATAGACTTCTTGTAGACTTCATCTTTCGATCAATACATGTTATTGTTTTAAAGATGTGCTAGACGAGGCTGACACTTGTAAACAATACAACGTGAAATAGCATCGTGGGCAGGATTTCAATGCAATTATAATCCACGACTGACAGGATGCGTGTTGGTCGGTACGTCGGACAATAGTCTTGGTCAGAAGCGTGGCAAGATCCCTGATAGCTACGTATTTCTTTCTATATTTCGTAATACAGTTCACAGTATGAACAATGAAAAAAGCACTGTGGCGGTCTTACTAATCACTGTGGCGGCTCGAGACCACAGTGGCGGGCAGGGAAAGCAGCATGGCGCCCGCACACAAATTGAATGCTGGGGAGAACAATAGTTATTCAAGTGTTGGTCACTAATTAATATTCATGAGCTAAATAATATACATCGTTGCCATCCTAGTAGACACAATTTAAATACTTTAACTTTTATTTCAAATATTTCAATGTAAAATTAATCTGTTTTGATAAAAATGAAAAATGGATACACTTTATTTTCTCATTCACGTCTAAAATTGTTTTTTTTTGAGACAATGACATCTGATTTGGCAGCTATTTTTTTCAAAGCATGTTGTTTGTTTGTTACGGCCAAAGTGGAAACAATAATTTAATTGTTTTCTTTTCCAATGGAATGCTGGTGAATCACATTAATAGTGAGAAATAAGTATTCTTGTATTGAAGACTCAACATAGCTTCTGAATTTAATTTTATGAATGAGTCATGAAGCCAAAAACATCAACGAAGCTTACTAGATTCACGTGCTAGTGTAAATTAAACAAACGACAGCAGACTTATTCAAGTTTGTAGTATCCAACAGTATTACACTACTAACCATTAGTAAGGTACATGTATGACAAGGAATGTTTGTTTTGGGTCACCCCTCCAACTAACCCTTGGCAGAGTGAACCACTACAGTGTGTATTTAATAGTCACCCTTAATGACAAGGAGAGGAGATGCAACAAAAATAAACAGCCAATCAGATATCTTGTTTCACCCACTCTGGAATGTTCTACTTTCGCAGCCTTATCACAGGTTTTTTGAAAAATCGTCGAAAAAACACAAGAATTAGTAGAAATGTTCCTGTTTTGGGCGGATTATTGATAGAGAATAATATCTTTATTACAAAAATGATGAAAAACCGTGAGTTTTTGCCTTAGTTATTTTTTTATCGGTGAAAAACTGCGAGCTCGGCAAATTTGGTTGCACAACTTCCCTCTATCATATACACCCAGCGACACTGATGCCAGCTGACAGTGGTCGATACCCCCCGAAAAAAGCAGGCTAGGTCAGCGTTTATTATCGTTCCTGCCATAAAATCAGTTCTAGTGTTTTCCACTCAACAAAAAAAAAAAACTGAAAATGAGGGACGTTGTCAATTTAAGCGCCAACAACTTGCGTGCCAGACTGTACCATTTAGGTGTGGGGGTGGTGGCTGTGGGGTATGGGTGGTTCAAAAAAGGGGAGGAGCTAGCGTGCGTTGATCACTGTTGTTCACACTTTAGAACGCCGCATCAAAATTGTTTAGTTTTTTTTGGATTGCCATACTGAAATGGTTTTAATTTAGTATGCCGCACCGAAATGTGGTTTGATTTTAATTTAGATTGCTGTGTTGAAATGATTTAGTGTTTTTTTGATTGCCGTACCAAAATGGTTTGGTTTTAATTTAGTATGCCGTACTGAAATGTGGTTTGGTTTTAATTTAGAACGCAGCACCAAAATGGTTTAGTTTTTTTGGATTGCCGTACCAAAATGGTTTTAATTTAGAATGCCGCGTCGTCAGTTCTTCCATACCGCTCCCTCCACATAAACTCGTCCAAATACCCAGGCAACATGCTTTTCGATACTCTATTCATTCTTTTCAGCTTTGCCTTGGCACTATTCCAGTAGCTCTCAATTGCCTGGGTATCGACTTGCATTTTTACACACCCTTCGAACCAATGGCAATGGAGGTACTATTCCTTCCAACCAATAGTAATTGATTATCAAAATGAGTCTGCTTTAAGGTACGTTGCCATAGAAAATAATCAATAATAATACAATAATGAAGAACTCACTCTTTCGTCCAAGGTTTGGCTGCAAGAATTTCTTGTTGTTGTTTCTTATCGTATTTGTAAATTTCATCCACGCTCTGTACGGTCTCCATATTATTCGACAATTCCCAGGTTTTTGCAGCCATTTTCGAAGCCATGTTTTCGAAACGTTGTTTACCTGATATTCTCTATCAAGATATAAAAGAGATGTGTTCACATAAACTGAGATACAAGGGTAAATTGACAAAAACTGAAGGCAGTAAAAGAATAAACTTGCTCTATGTCAGACGGCGGCCATTTTGTAGAGAGCGCCACCGCTAGGACACTGCCGTTATATCGACCATCGTGGTCTGAGGGCGCACTCATACCCGACGAATAATTATTTTAGTTTAGGTAGATTGTTTGATATTAACAATACAGCTCCACAACATAAAACAAAAGGTATCTTCTCAAAGGGGCACTAACATGCATTAATTGGCCCCAAACGCCAATGCAAAAACGACGTTGGCGTTTAATACTTAGTTACAAATAAAGATTACTAACCCCAAATGAGCAAAATTTTAACCGGTAACCAAGGCTCATTCAATCCACTACCGGCAAGCAACGTCACAGACGAAGTTATAGCGTTCAGCTTAGACTGGCGCAGTCGGGGCGGTTAATTTGT